GTAGTGAGTGAAATGATAAAGTGACCTTACAATATGATCAGACATATAGATTTGGACCAGAGAAGGTAGGCGGTTTTAAGTCACCCCCACAGGGCTGTTTTGGACGCCTCGACTCTCGAGAGGAGGGGGGGGAGCTCACAGCTCTCTACAATGTTTAGGGGTGCAGTACCCATTTTAAGAGAATTCCTCTTTTATGTGTCGTCTCCGTTGTGCAACGATAGGGTGAAGAAGGAAAAAAAGGTAGACAGAAATGATTGCATCACTTGAAATCCCGACTGAGTATGCCATAGCTTGCTAGAAATAACATACTAACTGGGGACATCCCCGTTTCTAACCAGGAATATGAACTCAATCAATCATATTCTCTGGATTTCAAAGGGCACAGCAATTTCTGTCCACCTGTCTTCCTTCACCACTCTATCGTGGTACAAAGGGGAGAACATGTCAAAGAGGCTTTCTTGCTCTCTCCACAAATCCACCAGTTTTTTGGTTTAATGCTCAAAAGTTGTAGATGTAGTTGTACATTTCCACCAGGTGAAGGATGGGAAATCTCAAAAGGATTCTAGTTACAGTCTTGCAGTTAGTGACCATGCAAGGTCTCAAGTCTTTGCAAAGTCTCCAAGTCTGTGACTAAAAACGCTGTGATTTGCTGACACATATTGTATGGAAGGCATAAACTGTGGAACTACGTTGGCGTCATTGGTATCAAAACGTTGCCAATATATTTGTGCAGTTTAGACAGTGTGCAGGAGTTTGCCTGCAGTTTTTTGGGTGGCTGTTAAAAACAAGAAATTAGCCGGTATCTGCAATTATGCTTTTGTATCCTTAACAGGTATTGATGTCTTTTACAAGTATTATTGGGAAGTTTAAAAATAGCTTGTGCCGAGAACCTTTAAAGGCAGGGTTGGAAATTATCCAAAACTAGGACTATTAAAAGTAGCATTCCCTCAGTGCCCCGTCTGCACCCACCACCTCCCCTCTGTGCTCCCTCTAAAGCCACGCCCCCTCACTTACATGAACGAGCGCCGTCTCTCCAGAAGTGGACCTCAGCTCATCGCTTTCATTGTGTAGAAACTACGTTGTCTCATGCCTCATTCAGCGGTAAGTAAACTCACAGTATAAACTCCGTCATCGGTGACGCGCTTTGAGTGTGGGCTAGAGCATGCAAGAGATAAAGTACGAGCAGGGAGACAGGGAGACAGGGAGGTGTCTGATTGGTTCTTCAGATTGGTACCTCATGGCAGACATTGGTGGAAGTTTTTACAGACTTACAACTGATACAGATGACAGATGTTCTTTGTTCCTTTTTCAGAGAACATGAGTTATTAATTTCTGTCAGAACCTAAAGACAATTTCAACCAAGAAAAGGATCTGGAGGAAATAACCCACCCTGCCTTAAAGGGCTCTGCCTTCAAGTGAAATATTTTGGGGATCAGATAGCTGAATGAGAGTGCAGGTCTGATCGCAATTGTTTTCATCCAGTGTGTTTTTGCCTTATGTTCTGCACCTCCCTGACGAAGGGCAGCGTCCAATCACCTACTCAGTGGTGCATATGTCATGTTAAGGCGTGTCCTTGAGCTATCGGCAACGTGTGCTTGCAGGACTCGAGTTTGTCCAACCATCCATGTTGTTGATTGCACCCAGAGTTCTCTAATAAAGTGGGATTTTTTATCGTCTTCTAACAGCTTGATCTTGATCCAGAATCATCTCCCGTCTTCCCTGACTGATCTCACTCCTTATGTTTATCTCCATCCTTGAATCTTTCTTTTCGTTTTATTGTTTTGTTACTTTCTTCCACTCCTCCTCCTCCTCCTTCTCCTCCTCTTCTCTCTGCTCTGTCTCAGCCTCTCAGTCCTTCATCTCTAAGTGACCCAGCCTATCTAATTAACTTTCCACTGCCAGGGTTATACATCACTGAGGCTGTCACTTCCCAGAGAACGGGGCGGGCTGGGAGGATTATAATTTTACCTCTTTTCTGTCTTCTCTTTCTTTCTCTCCCTTTCCCTCTTCATATTTTCTTTTGTCTGCATCCATACCGGCGTCATTCATTCTCTCTCTTTGCTCCTCATACATAGACGTCTCCCCATTGGTGGCGAACATGAAGCAGACTGAAACAAGGATCGTAATGTGAGCCTTTGGCGAATCTTGATACCATGAAAGCCTCCAGAGAATGAAGCTTGTCACCCTTTATTATGACACCCATTTGCTCGAGTCTTTATACAGACGGTAAAGCTTCATATGTGTCGTAAGAAATCCCATCAGCAGCTATAAATGTCTTCATAATGGCTCTTATTCTCCACATAATGTCTGTTTCCCTAAAGATTTGTAAACGGGAGCTTGAAGTGATAAACTTTGGCTGTGAATCTTTTCTTTAAACTTAAAATGAAGACATTACAGATAAGAGGGAGATCTGTTTAAATACATTATCTTAGCAGGCAACGAACCAAGGGCAAATACAACTCACACTAATTACCATATTTAGAATATACGTTAGATAACCTACCTCATGGCCCTCAGTGGCCACCACAAGCCAGACAGCATTCTCACCTTCAACAGACCCGGGCTCCCTTTATGCTAGCCAGGTAGCGATGACGCCGACACTACCAACCCCACCAACCTCACCA